CAATCATTTCCAGAAGCCCTGGCTCTGAGCACATGAGGCTCTTAGGAGAGGTTCTTTTTTTTTTTAAAAATATATTTATTGGTACATTTTAGGTATACAATACATTTACATTTATCGTTGGGTGCTTGTACCTGTACATGATGTATCTTGGTTCTTATTTTTTCCCCCATTACCTGTGCGCCCTTCACCCCCTCCACCCTTCCCTATTTACATAGAGTTTGTTTCCACTTTTTTTCTTTTCTCATAATTTTTCCTTTCCCTTCTTCCCTTCTTCCCTTTCCCCTTCCCCTCCCACCCCCACTACAGCTTTGGACCTTTTCCTATTTCAAATTATCAGTTATTCATTTTAATAATTTTAATCTCTATTTACACTTTCAGTTTCTCACACTAGAGAAACTATTCGGTATTTACACATGTGCGTCCTGTTTATTTCACTTAAGAGTATGCATAAGCGCAAGGACCCGAGTTTGATCCCTGTACCAAAAATACCCCCCAAAAACAAAGAGGATGGCCTCGATATGCATCCATTTAGCTATAAATGTCTCTAGTTTCTCATTCTTTATGGCTGAGTAGTACTCCATTTTATTAAAAAAACCACGCTTTATCCAGTCTCCAGTTGATAGGTATTTGGGCTGTTTCCAAGTTTTAGCTATTACAAACTGTGCTGCTATAAACATGGGTGCACATATATCACTGTGGTATGATTCTTTTAATTCTTTGGGGAAGATACCCAGCAGGGGGAATAGCTGGGTCGAATGGGACCTCTAGCCCTAGTTCTTTGAGGTATCTCCATACTGATTTCCACTGTGGTTGCACCAGTCTGCACTCCCACCAGCAATGGAGAAGGGTTCCTTTCTCTCCACCCCCGCCAGCATTTGTTATTGGTTGATTTCTTGATAGCAGCCATTCTTTCTGGGGTGAGATGGAATCTCAGTGTTGTTTTCATCTGCATCTCTCCAATGACCAGTGATGTTGAGCATTTTTTCATATGTTTATTTGCTGCTTTTATGAAGCTTTATTATTTTTTTTATTTTTGGGGGCGGGTATCGGGGATCGAACTCAGGACCTTGCACTTGCGAGGCAGTCGCCCGAACCACTGAGCTAAATCCCTGGTCCTATGAAGCTTTAATTTTAAACCTTTAACAAAGTAGCACACCAGCCCTGGACTGACAGATGGAACCGAGGGCAGGTGTGGAACAGAGAAAGCAGCAGGTCTGGGTAGGGGGAGCAGGATACCATCCCCTTGTCAAGAGGACTGTAGGTCTATGGGAACTCAGGCTGCACAACTGGATTTGGAAACGCTCAGCGTCCAAAGTAGGAGGCACTGTTTACTTTTTTTTCTAGTACTGAAGATTGAACCCAGGTCCATTATGCAAAACTATAGTCCCCAGCTCTTTTAAAATTTTTTATTTGAGATAAAGTCTTACTAAGTTACCCAGGTCACTTGTAATTCTTCTGCCTCAGCCTCCTGAGTGCTGGGATTACTGGAGTATGCCACCATGCTTTTGGTTGAGTCTCTGACCTGGAGGTTGGATCTCACTTGCCCCTCATATGAACAAAATGAGAGTCAGCCTGTGACTTAGGAGGCCAAAGGCCATCTCCCTCAAGTAGCTATCTGGTGCCCCCACCCTGTGCTGGCCCTGCCCCCAAACCTCCAGGTCCCCAGGTGCCAGCTCTCAGCCCCACAAGCCATCTGAAGGGGACACCTGCAACTGGGCTTCTAACCGGGCTTCTTACTGTTGGGAACCAGGATTGGTCTGTGCCCCCTTCCAGGTCCCAGCTCAGCCAAATGGGCTCAGGATGGCAGGATGGGCACCTGTGGGACCCCTAGCACCCCCCCCCATCACTCAGGGCACCTGTGCTCTGAGAGGTGGGGACAGGAAGGGAAGGACAGTGGGCCTGGTCCCTCAGGGTCACAGCCCAGGGAGTGCCACGCAGTGTGAACCTGGACTTGGATAAGATCTGGGACATTATTAATATCATCATTGGAATAAGGATTGCTATTATTGTGCGACAATCATCAATCAGGGGACATGTTGAAGCAGGTGTGAGCTCAGATGTGGCCCCAGTCCTGGCCTTTCTCGCTGGGTGGCGTTGGGCAGGTTGTGGCTGCACCAAGGCCTCAGTTTCCCCACTGTACACAGAGCCTCTTCCCAGCCTTGGGGCAGCCCAGCCACCTCTGTAGCAGGGAGGGGAGTCACAGAAGTTGCGTCTGCCTGGTGTCCTGACCCATGCCAGTGCTACCTTCAGTCCCAGCCCGAGTGGCTGTCTGGTGTAGGATGTGGGAGGCTCAGGGAGGTCCCTCTGCTCAGTCCCGCCAGGACAGGCTCTGCCCTGCTAGCCAGTTTGGGAGAACAGGTTGGCTCCTCAGCTGGACTGGGAGGGACTCAGTACCACTTGGTGAGAGGCTGGAAAGGCTGGGAGATGAGAAGGAGAAGGGCCCACAGAATGTGTTGACGAAAGCATAAAGGACATGAAGCATCCGATGTTCCTGAGCTCCTCTCACAGCAGCGGGCTTTGGTCTGTGTCAGGATTATTGTAGGCCTCACTCCCCAAGGAAAAGCAGGGCTTGGGAAATGGGAGAGGAAGGAGGAGAATCCCAAAGCCAAGAGCAAGTTGAAGAGGTGTGAAAGAGATGTTGCTTGATCATAACTCAGTCAGAGGTGGCAATTTAATTTTGCCAATAAGGTAGTCAGCATCTTCTGCTCACCTAACCCCCAAAGAAGTGGTGTCATTATGAGGAAACTGAGGTTCAGAGAAGATAAGTAACTTGCCTAAGGTTACACAGCAAAAAAAGTCGCCTGTTCCAGAGCCCACTGCCAGGGGACTCTCCACAGCTGGAGGGGGAGGGGGACTCCTCGGGTCTTCCATGGAATAGGTCAGTGAGATCCTCCCATCTCAACCTAACTCCAGGTCTTACCATGAGAGGGGCCTGGCTCCAGGAGGTAGTGTGGGGCAGTGGGCAGGAGCACCAGGCTGAGGTAGCCACGGGTCCTCTCTCCCAGCTATGGGAACCAGGTGCAGCATTTCAAGGTGCTGCGGGAGGCCTCAGGGAAGTACTTCCTGTGGGATGAGAAGTTCAACTCCCTCAATGAACTGGTCGACTTCTACCGCACCACCACCATTGCCAAGCGGAGGCAGGTCTTCCTGTGTGACGAGGAGCCTCTGCTGCAGGTACGTATGGTGGTGGGGGGTGGGAGCCACAGGCCTCTACCACCTCTGCCATCTGTGTGCCCGATAGTCCAGTGGTGCCAGAGGCAGGCCCAGCCCAGGTCTCAAGGTTATATTCCAAGGAGTGTGCAGCGAGACAAGAGGGATGGTGAGGGTTGGGAGAATGGGTGCAGTAGCAACTCCACCGGGGTAAACCATTCTGGCTTGTTCTCAGCTCCTAGAATAGTACGTAGCACACAGCAGGAGCTCAATAAATGTCGACTGAATGAATAGATAGACATGTGCTGAGCCTACTGAGAAGTACAACCTCTGTCTGGTCTCTGTGCTCTGGGAGCCTCACCAATCCCATCATACAGATGAGGAAACAGGCTCAAAGTGATATGATCTACTCAAGGCCACATGCCTGGAATGCTCAGTCCTGGTTTCTGCTCCCCAACAAGGAGCTGGCTTAGCCAGGGTATGGGGAGGTGTGCACACTTGTGGGTGAGGTCCTGCTTGTGTGGGGTCCATCTGCCCCTCTTCCTCACAATAACAGCAATTTGCTAGCATCCAGCCCTTTCATCACGGAGCCCCAAGGACTGGCTCTCACTCTCATCAGGATGATGACACTAGCCAATGGGGTTATTAGGCCAATGTGCTGTTTTCCTTGGGGGGGGGGTGTTGGCAAAGCCTGGGGCAGGCGGTTAGGACCTTGGGACATCTGAACTTGAGCTGTGCAAGGAGGATGGGGAGCATGGCCATAGTCAGGGCCTGGGGAGGGGCTGTTGTGTCCCCGCCCCCCTCAAACATCTTATATGACCTGAGAGCCAATTTAGCACTTAGTTGGGCCTCAGTTTCCCTTATGTCTAACAGGATGAGCCTGGGGGTGTGAAGCGCCAAGATGATTAAACAGGGGCTCAGGAGAACCCACTGGTGGACTCTGCTCTGCAGGGCCTCTGTCACCCAGACCTCCCTCCCTCCACCCACTGCCTGGGGCAGCTCTGGCCCTGGAGAGTGTGAGGGAGCCAGGATGAAACTGAGGGGCCAACTGAGACTGCCCTGCACTCACTTCCTTGCTTTGGCCTGGGCCTGAGGTCACCCATCCAGTGGGGTGACTGCAGAGCTGGCTCAGTCCCCTGAGACTCCTGACGCCTCCTTCCTGGGCAGAGAACCGCTAATTACAGTGTCTCTGCCGATTCTATCACCATCCTGGACGGGATTCCACAGGCTCAGAGCTAGGATCCTGGTAGGGCAGGCAGGGCCAAGGTGCTGGGTGTCACCCTCATGGCGCCAAGCAGACGTGTGGCAGAGGGCTCCCGTTCAGCTGTTGTGCATGGGACAGGACCAAGTCCCACACAGGACAGGGACATTCTGAGGTCATACTTGGAGCACAGACAGGACTGGAGGCCAAGCCTGACTGTTGGGGGCAGCTCCAAGTAGCACCTGTGTCCCTGACCACAGGCAACAGCAGGAAACGCAGCTCTTGATGTCCTCTCCTGCTGCACAGCTGGGAAAATGAGACCAGGAGAGAGCCAGGGACCAACCAAAGTCCCAGCTAAGGACCAGGACTTAGGTTCCCCCACTTCTGCCCACCAGCCCTTGGCTGCCAAGAGTTGGGGCCTAGTGGTGCTCACTGTGTCTGCGTGGCATAGCATCTACGAAGATGCAACGCAGGGCTGTGGTCAGCACAAAGCCCACGGGATGGGGTGGTCACCCATCTGGACTTGGTCAGGTCCAATGCTGCTTCAAAACTCCTCCCCACCTGCAGAGTCCCCCAGTACCCCTGTCGATCTTCTGGGGTCCTCCAGGTCTTGCAAAGGCACCCCACTAACAGCTTCCTCTCCTCGCAGTCGCCCCGCGCCTGCTTTGCCCAGGCCCAGTTCGACTTCTCGGCCCAGGACCCTTCACAGCTCAGCTTCCGCCGCGGGGACATCATCGAGGTCCTGGAGCGCCCGGACCCCCACTGGTGGCGGGGCCGGTCCTGCGGGCGAGTGGGCTTCTTCCCGCGGAGCTACGTGCAGCCAGTGCACCTGTGAGCGCCGCAGAGCCGGTGGGGGGGCGGCGGTGTGTGCGGGACCTGACATCCCGCGACAGGACGCGGACACCCCCTCCCCGGGTTACAAAGGACTCAGCGCAAAGTCTGAGGCTGAACTTTGGGTCCTGGCTGCTTCGGGACCCTTCGCACAAACTGGGACAGGCTCAATCGCCCCAGAGCCGAGGCGAGGTAGCTCCAGGATTCCTGTCTAGCCGCTTCCCACTGGGCTCCGGCTGTGTGACATCACGAGGCAGGCTCTTCAGAGCCCCCGCCTACCGCCAGGGGAGCGCTTGAGGACTTCCTGCGTCCCACTGGCTGCGGCTCAACACAGAGAACTCTGGACTTGGTGGGTGGGGGCACCTGAGCGGACTGCCTGCATAAAGGTCCTGGGGTTGTACGGGCTGTTGGGGAGGTAGCTCTGCCCCGAAGGACCTGGACTTACCCAGACCCTAGCTTCTCCACAGCCCCATGCCTTTGGGGTCCACCTAGGGGATACGGACCCCCAACCCCTACAGACACTTGGGCGGGGTTGAGACCCTGAGACCAGAACGAGGGGCAGCGGTAGTGGCAGGCGCAAAGGTGATGGCTCCTTTACTGTTGGCCACTTGTACGGACAGCTCTGAGGGACAGACCCGGGCCCTGCCACGTGGGAACATGGGGCTGCCATGACTGTCCTTTGTCCTGGCTCTGCACAGACCAGGTCGGGCACTTGTGGGGAGATAGGGCAATCTACAGGGTAATGGGATGTTGGGGCCGGAGCTGGGTTTTGGTTGACCTGCAGTAGGAAAAGGGGCAGGCAGCCTAGGTAGCGGCTTGGCTTGAGTGAAGGTGGGACGTCCGGATGGAAAAAAATGGACACCTCCAGGAGCAGGAAGATTGAAGTGGGACTTGGGAAGGGTTGGAATGCTAGGTGGAGGGACCATGAACTGGGTGAAGGAAGCTCCCTCCACCCACCTGTAGCAGGCAGGATGGAGGAGGAGCCCATCAGGCTACTGCAGCCCCTTGAGAGGGACCTGTGTTGTAGGCGTGCAGGGCTCCCACTCTGTCCAGGGTTGGCCCGAGACCCTTTGAGTACTGAGCCCTGGCAAATTCCACTGCTCCTAATATGGGCCTGTGTATTCAAAATAAAAACCATGGAACTAATATGAGGATGTCCATCAGAAATCTCATTTTCTTCTGAATTATGATTATTTTGATGGCAATTTTGAAGTAGCATGTTCTTTTTCCCTCCTAATTTTCTAGGGTTTCTTTGCTGGCTCAGCCAGTCAATGGGCACCAACCAGCTCTGTGGCTGTGAGGGGAGTCAGGCCTTCTCTGGGCCCCAGTGTCCACTCTAAGAAAAAGGCGTGGCCTAAGGACTCCGAGCTCCTTCCTTCCTGCCCAGAGTGGCAGCATCAGGCAAAGTAGGCGTAGAAGAAGATGTTGACACACATGAGGAGGACAGCATTGAAGCCACACACACGAGCCCAGAAAAGGCGTTTCTGGGGTGTCTGGCTGTCACCTGGAGGGAGTTGGGGAGGGATAGATGAGGGATGCAAGGTTACACCCCTGTGCCCATGCTTCCAGCCCCAGCCTCAGGTTGGAGAGCCAGGGGAAGTGCTGGGGGTCACCCAAATACCTGCTTTGGCTCCCAGGGACAGGTCCCGAGCCAGTGTCCACCAGGTAAGATTCGAAATCTGCAAGGCATATGAGGGATGGGGTGTGACAGGGCGGGGGTGGGCCCAGGGAGGGCTAGGGTCTTGATGGAAAAAATGAAGCTGAATTCAAAACAGGACAGAGGTCAGAGCCAGGCAGGGTTAGGGTCAAGGGCTAGAAAATTGTGGAGTTGGAGAGGGTCAGGGATCAAAATAGGATCAGGGTTAGAAATTGTTGGAGTTCAGTTCAAGAAGCCTATAGGGTTAAAAGTCCAGGAAAGCTCACCTCAACGTGCTGGGGGGGTGCAGTTAGCAGGCTTCCAGCTGTCACAACAGCAACTGTGAGCACAAAGAGGGCAATAGCAAAGTGCAGGTAGTGGATGCCTCGGAGGATGGCTGGCCGGATGTCCGGATCACCGCAGGGAGGAGCTGGGTGCAGGAATTCCAGGACTAGCCTGGTGGCACCTACCACCAGCCCTGCCATCAGGCCCCAGAAGGCCCCCTGGGGAGGAAGGAGGCTAGCTGTGGGCTGTAGGAGAAAGACTGGCCCCCCATTCCCCTCAGGAGGCATTAGGGGAAGGTCTGAAGAGACCAGGGCAAGGGCATGTCTGCAGGAGGAGGTGGAGAGCTCCTGCTTGTCCACCTGTTCATTGGCACGCCGCCAGAAGATGCCCAGGATGAAGACTGCGGTCACTGGGGGGGCCAAGGAGCTGGTCACAGACTGCATGTAGATGAAAAGTTGTCCACCGTTGGAGCCCTGCAGGATGGGGATCCATGCCACGCTCACACCAATGAGGACCACAATGACCAACCTGTCAGTGACAGCAGGTGGTAGGTGTTCAGAGACACTTTCTCAGCCCTGGACCTGCCCCAGTCCCTAAGACACACTCTCTCAGCTCTCTGTCCCTTCTCGCCCAGCTGCAGCCTCCTCCCAGCCTCGGGCTTACTCCACCAGTAAATGGCTGGTCTTTCTGCTCCAGATCCTTCCAAAGTTCTCAGGGTTCAGCCTCTGACTCCCAGCACTGCCTGTTCCTTGTCTTCCCTGGGGTCTCTGCTGAGTTAGCCCTTGGAGTAGCCCATGGGGGCACTCCCACTGGTCCCCTCCAAGGTGCCTCTCCCAGCTCCATGTCCCCATTTGCTTGGGTATTTTCTTGTCTTCTGTCTGTCTCCCTCTCCCACCTGGATACTCCAGGAGGCAGGCGTCTCCCCCTTTAGTTTGAGGCACAGAGGGTGCTCACTACACATCTGGGATCTTCAAATGACCTGCTGCTCTCACACTGGGCCACACTGAGCTCTTGGTGGTTCTCTGAACACACTGTGCTCTAGTGAGCTTCAGGCATTTGCAGGGACCCCAGCAGGGGAACATTCCCCAACTGTTGCAGCTCTTGCGGTTGACCCCATCCTCCTCAAAGGTGACCTCTGTCCTAGGAGGACAAGGTTTGGAGCTGGGCAGCTTGGGCTCACCATCTTTGGATCTTGAAGTCTTCTGGCTCCCCTGAGAGGCTGAGGGCCCCTCTGCAGCAAGTGCTTCACTTCTTCCACACATCTGGTGAGGAGCTGCCCTGGTTGCAGGGCCCTATGCTGGGAGCTGACTCCGTGCTGAACAGGCCCTGGTGCCTGCCTAGCACTTCTTCAACAAAGAAAACAGCCCAGCCTGGCTGGGCTGTACTTCGGGAGCCCTAGGGGAAGCATCAATCTGGGGAGCTTCCAGGAGGAGGGGGCCTGGGAACTTATAAGCTATAAGCAGGTGTCCTATCTACTCCTCTCTGGCTGAGCACCCCTCACCTCATCATCTGGGATTCTTACTCCTAAGGAGGGAGATGGGAGCAGCTGCTGGAGCCCAGTCCTCTGGGGATGATAGAGGCTGTGTGTAGCAGGGCGTGTCCCTTTCCCTGGCTGCTCGCCTGCCGGCCTCCCTTTCCTCCCTTCCAGGCCTGAGGGAGAGGGTGGAGGAAGGAGGTGCTCCACCAATTAAGGTTAATTAACCCTTAGCCTGGCAGGCGGGGGGTGCTGCCTCTTCAAAGGCCCAGGAGGCCGCCATTACCCACCCACCCCGCCCTCTGAGACCAGACTCAGCATCTCTGTGCATCTACGTGGGGCCATGGCCTTTGCAGCCAGCCTGGCCTGGACCCTGGCCTTCTCACTGCTCCCAGGCTGTGCCTTCTGATTCAGCTGCCACCTTGCTGCCCAGGTACCCCAACCTAGAAGCTGTGTCTTTTGCTGGAATGCCCTTCTTCCCAGCAACCCTCGTCAGCTCCAAGGAGCCCCAGGGGCCAGTCCCCCCCATCCTATCCATCACAGCCCTGGGCTGCTGCCATGGTCATGGGGAGCCCTATGGGGGTGAGCCTGAGATCTCCCTGAATCTTCCATGTTGCTCAGCTGGACACAGGGTCTCAGGGAGGAGGGAAAGAGAGTAGCAGGGGAGGAACATGAGGAACAGAAGTTCTGAGGTGTGGGGCTTGGGGAGAGCAAAGATCAAGGACCAGAAGTGAGGTCATCAACCCCCTGCTGCCACCATCTGTGACAGCTTCTCTAGCTTTCTGATGAGACTGGCGTGGTCACTGGCATGTCACTACCCTGCCATGCCTTCCATTCTAGGCTCCTGGGCCAAACAGCAGTCTGGCAGGGCCTGGGGGTCAGGTGGGTAGAGGTGGGAAGGAAGGTAAAGGGCGTGGGTGTGGGTTGGTGAGCTGACAGGAGGACTGACCAGATCAGAACTTGAGCCTCAGATGGATCAGAGCAGAAGCTGCTTCTGGGGAGACCAGAGGTATCCAGGCTGGGATGCTGGAGCATGGAGGGGGTTAGCCAGGTACAACACCATGGCTAGAGAGGGGCAGGGCCCCTGGCACAGCAGCAGAGGACAGGCAGGAGAGCAGGGATCGGATCTCTAGTGGTCAGGGGAGCATGCCCAGGATGCAGGGCAGGGAGCACCCTATACAGGGTGGCAAGAGAATCCTTACCTGCAATGAGCTCACACTTACTTCAGACTGGCGTGTCCCAACAGTGCCCTTCCAACAAGAGCCTGGCTGTTTGCATCACCAGGACACCTGCCCAGAGCTCTACGGAGCCCTCACCCCAAAGCCAGAGGCTGCACAGTTGGGTTGGCCAAGCCAGCACTAGAAGGATGTGCCCTGCACCAGCAGAGTGGGATCCGAGTGGACCTGAGGGTTAGGGAGTGGGCAGAACTTGGAGAGGACCCAGGTGGTCATGTGTGGACAATCTGGGACATAATCTCCACTATTCATGGCCAAATTTACCTCTACAGGGCTCCTGGGAACGCAGCCAGGCTTGGGGACAAAGGATGGGCCAGATATAGCCCTTGCCCTCAGGGACTCCCCAGCCCATGGGGAGGAGTGTCCAGAAGATGACTTGGACCACACCTGCTATGAGAGGTGTCTGGCAATAGTCCTGGACACAGAGGAGAGAGAGGATCATTCCTTGGTTAGGAGTATCAGCAAGGGCTACATGGAGGAGGGGCCACTTGGGCTGCATCACTGAGTGGAGTAAGGGGGGGATAAGGAGGGCTAGGAGGAAATTGGAGCTCAGTGGGGTAGGGGCAGAGAGGCCAGAGAGCTCTGTAGCCTGTGTGTGGCCAGTCCTGAGTGCTGGCTCAGCTGTCTCAGTGGGACTGCAGGCTTAGATTTTAGGGAGGCAGATTTCTGATGTTGGTGGGAGAGGGAGGGCTAATCCTAACAGATGGGACCCAGCTCAGGGTGAGAGCAGCAACCCAGAGAGGGCTATGACCACAAAGGGCTGGACAAGAGAGCAATTCAAGGGATGGATGAGTAAGATCCTCTGGCTTCTTCTCTCCCGTCATTTCTGGCATTCTCCTTTCTCTGGCAATTTCCTCAAAGCCCTCAAAGCTTCCCTCAAAGCCCACCTCTGGTGGGTGGGGCCTCAGGGGCTGCAGAAGCCCATCACTCAACCATTCCTTGGTTTCTAGGCACCCACCCTTCCCATACCTTCCCACTAGCAGCAGCTCCCTCTCGCCAGCACGGGTCCGAAGCCTCCTCCAGATGTCCATAGTGAAGAGTGTACTGCTGCTGTTAAAGATGGAGGTCAGTGATGACATGAGGGCGGCCATCATCACTGCGATCATCAGCCCTCGAAGACCTGGGGTGGGAACAGGGGCTTCTTGAGACCCTCCCTGGCTCTTGTCTGGCCTCCAGAGCCCCTCTTGCCTGTGCTCAACCATCTGAGACCCCATTGCTGTCACTCCTGAGGAACCCCACAGCTATTTACAAAGCCCGGAGGGCAGAGGCAGGGGAGGACAGAGGCTGAGGATGTTTGTGTGAAGAAGGCCCCCAAATAGTTGGCTGGGGAGGCCAGAGACAAGGTGTGGGACTTGGGAACTCTTGGCCTGTGCCTGCGTCCTGCTGCAGCACAATTCCCAGCTGTAATTACCCAGTGTGTTGCTGTTATTACAGCCCTCTCATTTCCACAGAGCCTGGAGCTGACAGGACACTTTCACACTTTGACTTCATTGGAGGGAAAGATCACCAACCCTTTGACAGACAAGGAAATGGAAGCTCAGAGACAGCAAGAGGGCTACCTGAGGACTCACAGTAGGCCACAGGCAGAGCCTGGGGGTGGAGTGGGGTGGGTGAGAAGGTTTGGGATGGGACCCTCTGCTTGGCAGTCACACCCTGGGCAGGGCACATGCCTCATCCCCACGTGCAGGGGCCTTGTCTCCGGAATTTCCCGTCACATCCTGTGCAGGGCAGGCACCAGCAGGCACAGGGCAGCCCCTGGCCTGGATCCAGCTCTGGGGCAAAGCTAGAGAAAGAAATTCACCCCAGATCTTGCCTGAAAGCCACTGAATGGTCCTTGGCAGGACTGTGGGCATTATTGGCAAAGCTCCTGGGAGTCTGGGTTCCTGGCAGGTCTGAGGAGGGGAGCCCTAAAGGAAGTGGAAGGGTATTTGTCTGCAGGCTCAGTGCTGTGTGGCTTCAGGCTTTTCACCTCTCCTCTCTGAGCCTTTCTCTGTTTCCAAAGACTCTTGCAATTTTTCTTCAGTGTTTGAGCATCTTCTCCCTGCTCAACTTTCCTTCTCCCTTTGCTCTCAGATGGGCCTGACCGGGGCTCTCCTCCCCTGAGTTCATCCTCAGAGGGGCGAGTTGTTGCCCAGCCATGGTTCTGAATCTGCCTTGCTGTATGACTCCCAGACACCCCATGACCCTCTCTGTTCCCTTGTTAGGCTGGCTGGGATGGAGCCCAAAGGAAAGGGAGTTAAATTATGGTTCTCCTCAAACACTTCTCTACCCTTCTTGTCTTGCTCATTGAGGTAGATTCATTTGGGGCTGCTTCCACCCATTTCTCAGACCGGCAGCTGGAGGCCGAGGGAGGGGTGGTGCCTGAGTGTCAGCTGGGTGTCAGTGCCCAGGTGTGGTGAGTCCCCTGCCCAGGACAGAAGGAGGAGGCACAGCCCAGAGGTGGGAGCCCACAGTGTGGCCAGGCCATGCTCCAGGCAGCATCTCTGTGTCATTATGTTTAATCTCAGCAAGGACACTAAGGAGTGGTAGATGTCATCATTCCTAATTTACAAACGAGGACGCCGAGGCTCTGAGTGGGGAACTGAAATGCCAAAAATACCACCCCAGCGAGTAGAGTAGCAAGTAGCCCAGGTATGTTTTCAGGGCTGCACACTGGTGTCCTTGGGCCTGGGCTCTGCAGAAGGGAAGGAGGGAGGGAGGGAAGGACAGAGGGATGGGCAAGGATGGGCCTGACTGAGGGCCAGAAAGCTTGGGAGGTCAAGGGAAAGTCAAGCCCCAGAGTTGAGAGGGAAATCTCAGGCTGCAAGAGCCTGGAAAGTTGTCTCTTCTGACCACCCCCACCCCTTGGTATGCTGCTTCTGCTCACACACCTCCTCAGATGAGGAACTCACCACCGTAACAGGCCAGTAGGACTGCTGCATCTACAAGAAACATGGAAGAAGCCAGAAGCACAGTTCTACTCACTGGCCTGCAGTATGTTGGGTGAGGTGGAGGATTGGGTTTCATGCCTGCAGAGATGGAGGCCTGAGGGTCCTGACTCCTGATCTCAGCAGAGTGAGCAGCAGACTTGGGTTTATGTGTCAGTCACTCTGTAGCCTCAGACAAGTCATTTCCACCCTGTGCCTCAGTTTCCTCATGTGTAAAATGGAGCTAACAACTCTCATGTTAAATGAGATGGTGTTGGTACAAGGGCCTTGGCACCTGGGAGGTGCCTAAGGAAAAAAAGGTGGTGTGCTTTCTCGAGGGCTGGCACAGCACAGGTCAAGGGGATGGACTCTGTAGGCAGATAAGCAGGAGCCAGATCCCAACCTATCCACTGACTTTTGTGCGCCCTTAGCCAGGGCACTTCACCTCTCTGGGTTTTCTCAATTTCTCCATCTTTGAAATGAGGTTGAAGCCAACAGTATGCAGGGCCAGGAGAAGAGGAAGCGAGTGACCATGGAAGCCAGGTAGCCCCGGCATACCAGCACCAGTGCATCTGCTGTGGTTACTTCTCCTCTAGGACAAAAATGTCCCAACTGGATGTGGCAGTGTCACACTGGATCCCAAGCTCCCACCCAACCCCCTCAACTCCCTTGGGGCCCTGCCCAGGCCCCCACCCAGAAACCTCACCATTGGGCATCAGCTCCATGACCAGCTTGGGGTAGGCTATGTTGGAGCAGCCGATCTTGGCTCCACAGGCCCGCAGGCACTCGGACGGCACCACGCAGCCCACATCATCTGCAGGAGACAGATGCTCAGTGCCCACGCTGCCCCACGCCACCCCTCCCCACAGACATGAGCTCCTGGGGGAGATGAGAGCGGGAGGGGCACAGCATGGGCTGGATCTGTACTGTCACAGCTTCTGCTTACTGCTTGGCTCTGGGCTTCAGTTTCCCAGCGGGAGCCTTGAGGAGAGGTTGGCCTTGGCAATCTCCAGCTCCTCTCCCATCTGCTATCCTCCATCTCTTCCACCATTATTTTCCTGTTGTCCTCTGCTGCACATCCCAGGCAGGAGGCTCCCTGCAGTGTGTATGAGAGGCCAGCTGGCCTGCAGAGCCTATTGGGATGCTGGTCTCTGTCCCAGCTGCTGTCCCAGACTGCCCAGGTGGGTGGGGCACAGTGAGAGCCATGCCCACTCAGCTTGCCTGATCTTCCCTGCTGCAAGGAGTGGGGTCAGGGCTGCAGGGAGTGCTATATGCTCCTGCATGGGCAGAGCCGGATGCCCAGGACTCTCTAGGTGTTGGGCTCTCACAGGGCAGGACCTTCCCACAAGCTGCCCCTCACCCCAGACTTTCCCTCCTGACCCCCACCCCTGGCTTTCGCTGTTTGCCGCTCACCCCACTCCTGGCACTAACTTCTTCACTTACTCAGATCTGTCCTTGGAAGGCTCCTCCATCTAAAACAACCCCATCTCCTCTCCTGTCTGTCCTCTCATCCCACATGACCTCCCATCGTCCTTTGTCATCCCAGGGATGATTTGGACCTGTTCATTGGGTTCCTATCTCTTTCCTTTGGTGGGTGAGCCCCAGGAGGACAGGGACTTTGTCTTGGGCTGTCTCCCCGAGGTGGAGACAACATGCACTGGCCAGCTGTTGGATGGAAAAAGGAATCTGTGAACTTCAGGCTTCACTCAGACCGACTGAACCCTAAATCCAGGCAACCCAGGTGAGCTGCCTCACAGAGTTCCTGGCCTCCTGCCCCTGTGGGGACAGAACCTGAGCTCTGCTTTCACACCCATGGGCAGGAGGCTCCTCCCCTAGAAGATTTTCTAAAAACCTTTGCCCCTCCCTGCCTCCAGTTTACAGCAGGGCCCAATAAAGGGCAGAGAAAACTGGGAGATGCCGGTTGAAGTAGAAGTTTAGAAACAAGCCCTCTGACCACGCTCAGAGTGGCAGCAGGCTTTGGATGCAGTTGCCTGATGAGAGAGGCCCTCCAATGCCCCTACTGGAAGCCCCCCTCCCATTCCCAGTCCCCCCTGGAGGGGGGGGGCAGCAGCCAGTTCTGGTCCCCGCCCTAGCACCACACCTGAGGCCCCAGCCCAGACCTTCTTGATCTCCAAGCATGCTGGACATTTGGCCCCTGGGACCCCCAGCACCATGGCTCAGTGTGTCCTTTCTTCTTCCCCATCCATGGCCTTGCTCTCCTCTTTCCTCCCACCCCTCTGGCCTGGCTCCCAAAGTCACAGCTCTTACCACTGCTGACTTCTCAGGAACCCCTCCACAACCCATCCCTGGCAGCCGACAGATTTAAAAAGTCCTTTCTAGTCACGCGAGGCCCTTGACAACCAGTCCCAGAACCTCTGTCCCAGTGCCCAGCACCCTGGTACTCGCCACCCTAACTTGCTTGTGTTTTCTCACACACGCCCAGCACTTTGCTGCCTTCGTGCCTCTGCAGACGCTGCCCCTCCTTCTGTTCCCATTTGTGTTGCCACTGTCCTTCCACACCCACCCCCACCCTTGTTTACCTCTTGCTTCAAGGCTCACTGCAGAGGCTGGTCCTCTGAGGCCGCCTGGACTGCACCCCCAGCCCCATGCCCAGCAGCTTCCTTCCTAGGCTTCCTGCAGCCAAGGACTGAATCACAGTTGTTTGTTTACCTAGTCCACCTTCCCCACCAGGCCCTGAGCTCCCTGAGGGCAGACACTGTGCTTGAATCATCTCTGAGTCCCAGGTATCACCCAGCCCAGGGCTGGACCCAGAGGAGACAGTTTGTGAAATCTGTTGAATGAATAAGTGAGTGAATGGTGGAGAGGAAAAGGAAAAGCACAGAAGGAAAGGAAGAAAGGGAGAAGGGATCCCAGAGAGAGCCATGAAGGGATTCAAGCATTGTTTGATCTAGTTGCCTATCCTACCACCTCTATTCCCATGAGTTCTGCAGGACCAGAAAGGACAAAATTGCTGACATGAACAGTCACAAACGGAGAGTCTGGGGCCCCATGGCAGGACACTGGGGCACTGGGCCCAGGCCTAGGCCTCAGAGAGCAGCTATGGGTGCCTTGTCATAGACTATCGGCCTAGACTGGCTGGCTTTGGCATCTGGAGGGCCCAACCCTCCTGGGAGGGACCAGTGAAGCATCACAGCCACATAATGGCTCAGAAAGCTCGAGTCAGGAGATTCTTCCTGAGTTTATTCAGCCCATTCCTGCCTCTTGGCATGGGGCTCCGCCTCTGGGCACTGCAGGCTGGACGAAAGGTTTGCGCTGAACAGCAAGAAAGAACCACCTCATCTTTATGAGTGCTGTGGCGGCATGTCGCCATTTAAACACAGTTCCCCAGAGTGCCAGCAGGGTGAGTAGGCCAGGGTGGGTGGGGGAGCGGGGATTGGGTCCTGTGCTTGCCCCAGTGCTGGCTTCTGCCTGCTTCTGCCTTAGCAGCCCTGTTCTGCCAGGGCCCATCCTTGCCCCTACGGCCCTGTCCCCATTGCCATGGCCAAGTTGAACTTGGCTGCTGGGGGAACTGTACTGCCTCCTCATGCTCCTCCAGTGTACCCTCCTCTATAGCTAAGCATCTGCCCATGTTCCTGCCTTGCAGCCCTGGACTGACTGTGCCGGTCAAGGCCTCCTGCCAGTTTCACCCAGACTTCTGACAGGCACCCACACTCTCTTAGACACCTCTAGGCCTCTGTGTTTGCTGTTCCCTTTCCCAAGAACACTCTTCTCTTCTTCATAAACTCAAGGAACTCAAACTCATTTCTCTCAAGCCATGAATGTCTGGGCTTCCCAGGTTTGAGGGCAACATTCTCCAAAGCACCAATAATTCTGCAACCCCTGTGTGTCTTGCCTCCCATCACACTATGACTACAGGCTTCTGGTGGAAGCCTGAGTCCCAACAGTGCCCAACATAAGCCAACACCTGGCAGCTTCTGCCAGTGTTTGTTGATTGAGTGAATGATCCTCTCCCAAAGAAGCCACTGGACATACCACCTTGAGAGGTAATCAAGGTGCTCCAACCATGGAGGCAGCCCAGAAACTACTGAGGCAGTAGGGAAGAGAAAGGTGCACAGAGCTGGGTTTGAGTCCAGCTCTCTCAACTCCTTGTTGTGTAATTCTGGGTGATTATTTAAGGTCTTCGAGACTGTTTACTTTATAAAAAGCCTTCTGGAGCTATCTATAGACCCTAAACTTAAACTTGATCCAATCTTCACACCTTCTTACAAAAATTAACTCAAAATTGATCAGATTTAAAGGCATAATATTAAAAAATGGTCAGACATTCGGAAATCTTTAGAACCTAGGGCTAGGTGAAGAGGCTTTTTTTTTTTTTTTTTTTAAAGACAGGATCTCACTATGAAGTCCAGGCTGGCCTTGAACTCACTATGTAGCCTAGGTGATCTTCCTGCCTCAGCCTCCTGAGTACTGGGAACACAGGTGTGTGCCACCATGCCAGGCTTCTAGGTGAAGAGTTCTTCTATGTGATACCAAAAGTACGATCCATAAAAGGAAAATGTGACAAATTGGGCCTCACTGAAATTTAAAAAACAAACAAACAAACTTTGCTCTGTGTAAGATATCTGTGAAGGGGATGACAAGGCAAGCTACAGACTGGGAGAAAATATTTGCAAACCACATATCAAAACTGAACAGTAAAAAACAAAAACCAATGAAACAATCCATTAGAAAATGGGCAAAAGACATAAAAGGCATTCACTGAAGGGGACATACAGTGGCAAATAAGTACACAGGAAGATATTCAATGACAACAGCCACCAGGAAAGTGCAAATGATAGTCACACTAAGAGAGCTAGGGGTGTGACTACCAGAACAGCATTTTCCTGGCATGCAGGAGGCCCTGGGCTTAATCCCCAGCACCATGAAAATAAGTAAATAAAATCACAGTAAGATATCACACACCTATCAGAATGGCTGAAATAAACAAACAGTGCTAATATCACAAGTTGGCAATGATGTGGAGAAACGGAACCACCCACACATTGGTGGTAGGTATATCTATATATCTATATATTTTATATACACATATGTATGAATGAATGTTCATAGCAGCCTTATTTGTAATGGTCAAAACTGGAACCAAGCTGGGCATAGTGTTGCACACCTATAATCCTAGTACTCAGAAGGCTGAGGCAGGAGGATCTCCATGAAGTCAAGGCCAGCCTGGGCTATACAGTGAGTTCAAGGCCAGCTGAACTTCATAACAAGAGCCTGTCTCAAATGAAACAAAACAAAACAAAAAACTGGAAACAAGTAGTCATGATAGCACATGCTTGTAATCCCAGCACTATGAGAGACGAAGGCAGGAGGATCACAAATTCAAGCCCAGCCTGGGCAATTTAGTGATTTAGCAAGCACCTGTCTCAATGTTGAAAAAAAAGGGGTTGGGGAGAGGGTCAGGGATTTAGCTCAGTGGTTCTGCTGCCTGCCTGGCAAGCTCAGGGTCCTGAGTTCGATACCTGGTACCAAAAAAAAAAAAAAGTGGGGGAGGGAGCTGGGAATGTAGCTGTAGCTTGGTGTAAAGGCCCTAGGTTCAATTCCCAATACGGGGTGGGGTGGGGGAGAACCTCCTACCCTTCACCCATGGAAATGGTTGAACAAACTGGTATATCTACATTGTAGAATAAGTGTCAGCAATAAGAGAGGATGAACTAGATGGTCTCTAACCTATAGTTGGAACTTTAAGATTTTATATTATGATGGTGTGAAAATGATAAGCATTCTATAGCAACCTCACTCCAAATCATCAGTGTGGATCTTTTCCCAGGCTATCAACATTTGGAATGATCCTTCCTGGTGACAGTGGGCAGCTGCAGTGAGCCACAGCTCCCAGCCAGCCCTAAGATCACGAGGAGAAACAGCTGATGCTCTATCTACAGTGGGCTCTATTTATCTGGACGTGTCCCTAACATGAATTAGGAATCTTCTGTACCAACACACACAGCCACCTGGATGATTCGCCAGAGAATCATGTCAAATGGGGGAAAAGTCAATGCCCAAAGCTTACATACTGTGCTTCTCATTTATATAGTGTTCTTTTTCCTTTTTTTTGGTACTGGAGATCCAACTCGGATCCTTGCACTTGTGAGGCAGGCAGTGGAACCAATGGGCTAAATCCCCAGCCCTATATAGTGTTCTTGAAATAAGGAAATGATAGAAACAGTGGGGAACAGATTGCCAGGGGTTAAGGATGGTGGAGTGTGGGCATGGCTGCAGCAAGGTCTTTGTGGGATGAAGTCTTTGTGGGATGAGGCAGTGCTACATCTTAAATGTGACAGTATATACACAAACTTAACACATGTGGCAAGGCTGTGTACTCACAGATGTGCACGCACACACATACTCACACATACACACAGGACATGTGGGACAGATGAAATCTGAATGAGCTCTATGGCTCATTTCTGGCAAAGGTACTAGAGCTATGCAAGATGCTGTCATAGAAGGAATTGGAGGAAGGGTACATGTGACCTCCTTGTTCATTTTTCCACAACTTCCAATGAATCACTGACACAGGCAGGTAAGTGCTCACAAACAAAGATGAAAGAGCCTGAGGCCTGTCAAGCCTGAGAGCCAGGCCTCCCTTCATAAAATCCCAGGGCCTCTGTGCATTGGGAAGAACAAAAGAGGAACCTGAGGACCAGTGAGGGTTTGCTGGGGTTCCACAGCAGCAGGCGGCTATAAATGGGACTTCAAGAATTGCAGTGCAGGCTGACCCACTGGGCCCACCTCTCTGTGGTCCTGGGGAGATGCAGGTGTGTGTGCTTGGACCTGGGAGGAATGGCCCCTCTGGGCCACCACGTTCAGAGAGTTTGAAGCTTGTGAAGTTTGAAGCCAGTTTGAAGGTGGGTGGGGCTAAAATGCAGGGGGTGCAGGACCTGAAGCTTGAAGGGTCAGTGATGGGGACCCAAAGGTGCTGGACCCAGGAGAGGTGGTCACTACTCAAGGCAGAAGACTCCAACACAGAAGCCAGACTGGAGGATGGAGAGTGGAGAGGGCTGAGGGGAGGGGTTCGAAGGTTAGAGTTGTGATCAACCAGCCCTCAGGCAGCATGGGAGCAGTGTCCTTAGGGCCCCAAGCCAGTTCCATCCAAATTCCAGGAGGGGTGGAGGGTGGGGAGGGTGGCTGGATGCCTGGTTCACTGGCCGTGGTCTGGCAGAGGCTGTTGTTGGGCCAGGTTTAATGGGCTTTGCTGTCCCACCCTGACAGCCTGCCTTTAGATGTGGTCCCCACACCCCCCATAATCAGAGACCCAAAGCCCAAGGACGCGGCACAGAGAGCTGGGGCTGACCTCAGGCTGCCGCAGCCCTCTCCATCCCTTCTGCCCTGCAGTTCAGGTGGGGCACAGCTCATCCTGCTGGTCCACTCTAGGGGACCCCCTCCCAGCAGGCAGTGGGGCTCAGGACTCCTGCTCTGCTACAGTGGGCTCTGTGGGAGCCCTTGGGTGTCATTCCAAGAGTAACCCCTGCCTTGGGGCTCCCAGCCCAGGGCCCTAAGCTACCTCCACAACTGGCCCCTGAGCATCTATGGAAGCTGTCCCAAGGCCTGACTGGACACAGCCAGAGTATGACCAGGATCACTGAGGATTTAGAGTGCCCGCTGTGTGAATCGAGGGAGAACGCTGTCCCTCTCTGGGCTTCAGTGTTCCAAGAGCTCTTGGTCTTTGGCCCCTAGTTTTTTGAGGGGATGGGGGCAGCGCAGGACAGGGGCGCGTCGGTTTGCAGACCTCCGTGGGTGTGAATCAGCTTCCGGCCCGCCCCCGGGGTGGCACGTGACCACAGGTGGCGCGGTAGGGTGGGAGGGGTGGCACTTAGTCACCGGCCCGCCCTCACCCGGCCTCGAGGCTGCGGCAGCCTTAGCGCCCTGCTCCGCCCGTACGCTCCGGTCGCCGGCTCTGCTCAGGCTGCCCGCGCTCGCCACGTAAGCAAGTGGCTGCTGGCCGCCGCCGATCCAGGGTCCCCTGGGCGCGGGCTCTCGGGTTTCGGGCCCCCCGGGGATCTTGAGACCACTCCCTTCCCGGAAGCCCTGGGAAAGCCAGGCGCCGCCGAGCGGCGGCCGAGACAGTGCAGTCTCCTGCCTCTCGCTCGGACAAACTCAGATAAGTTCCTGCCGGCTTTAGTCGCCTAGGACTCAAGGCGACTCGGGCAACCTGCCGTGTGGGTCCCCAGGCCGATCGAGGTAGGCACGCCAGGCCCTGGGACGTGGCCACGGGTCCCTCCACCTGTCCCCACCCCGGGCCGGATCTCTCACCCCCACCTCCTCTTCCCGGCCCCGCCCTGCCGTCCCTCCGCCCCGCCTCGCCCCACCTGCCCTCTGACCTGCGCCCGGCAGTCATCAGCTCTTTCCCACAGGTTCCTTATGGGCAGAGGAGCCGCTGCAGCCGGGAGGCCTCAGAGCGCTCGGTGCCTCGGCCAGAGCCGTAGTTAGGACTCGATCTTGAGGAGTGGTGCAGCAGGCAGCCCTCTGCACAAGCGGCGCGCGGGCAGGCGACACGATGGCCTTCTCCCAGGTGCAGTGTCTGGACGACAGCCACGTGAACTGGCGCTCGAGCGAGTCCAAGCCTGAGTTCTTCTATAGCGAGGAGCAGCGGCTGGCGCTGGAAGCCCTGGTGGCCCGCGGCCGGGAGGCGTTCTATGAAGTGCTCCAGCGCGAGAACATCCGCGACTTCCTCTCGGAGCTGGAACTCAGGCGCATCTTGGAGACTATCGAGGTGTACGACCCAGGCTCGGAGGATCCCCGAGGCACCGACCTCGCACAGGGCCCCCAGGACAACGGGGTCGGTAACTGCGGCGAGGAGGGGAGAACCCCTGCCGAGGCCGAGCCGCCCCCCTCGCTGGAGTATTGGCCCCAGAAGTCGGACCGCTCCATCCCGCAGCTGGACCTGGGCTGGCCCGACACCATCGCCTACCGCGGCGTCACTCGGGCCAGCGTCTACATGCAGCCCCCGATGGAGGGGCAGGCCCATATCAAAGAGGTTGTGCGCAAGATGATCAGCCAGGCCCAGAAGGTGAGGAGCCACGAGTGGGAGTTCCTGCAGAGGTCGCTGGAGCCCAGCATGGGGACCCCAAAATGCTCTCTTCCTGGAAGGAGGTTTCCTCCTGGCCTTCCTGGGGTTGCTCAGTGTCCTTGCAAAGGAATAGGGTCCCCAAGCCCTCTAGCAGGTAACAGTGGGCTGCCTCATCGCAAAAGGCCGTTGTGCATTATGCTGTGCATTCCCCCAGCCTGGTGAGCAGGCTCCCCAGAAGACATTTGGGGAGTGGGGTGGGGAGGAATGGCACAGCTGTTTCTTACCTACTCTCCTTAGGGTGACACTGATTCACTCCTGAGAGTGAGGAGGTTCCCACACACGATGAGCTCTGGTGGAGAGGGCTTTTGTTGGAATTTGGAGCTATAGGTGTGGGGATTAAGAAGCAACCTAAGGGGCTAGGGATTTAGCTCAGTGGTTTCGCCGCCTACTTTGAAAGCCCAAGGACTGGAGTTCAATCCCCGGTACCAAAAAAAAAAAAAAAGCAACCTAAGTCTGTCTGAGTCTGGCTTGGAGACCTGAGTTCAAATGTGCTGCTTCCTGGCTATGCTGAGCAACTGAGAGTGAGTTGTTCAACTTCTGTGAGCCCTTTTGTGAGTGGCAGAAACTTTCCTGGCCAAGATGCCTGAGGAGATGGGGGAAATGGCTCAGGACATACCTGTGGTCCTCAGTGAAAGATGAGTGAATTCTACCGAAGACTGTCCACTTGGGCTGAGCTTTGCCATTAGAAGGGTTCTCAGGCCCGGTCTGGACCTCCCCTTCTTGACCCCCCTGAACTGGGCAGTGCCCCACTGAACCACTGACACATACTGAGAAGGGTGCTGACAGAGACAGACATTTGCAGACAGCCAAGCCATTGCCTGCAGCCATGACCAGAGGAGATGCTCTCTGGAAATGGCTCTTCACGGTTTCCCAGCCTGTCCAGAGGCGACTGACCCCTAGTGGGCTGTGTTGAGAAGGATTCTGAAGCTAGGTCTGGGCTGGGCTTGTGGGCTTGTGGGCTTGGAGTCTTACCGTCTTACCCTATTGCTGTTCCAGCCTGAGAGTGGAGCAGCTAACTGAACAAGACCAGAATGCTGGCTTGGGGGATCATCCTGGGTCACAGGAGACTTTGGGGAGCTCTTGGGCAGAGAAACCAAAAGTGGGTTAGAAGCTGATGAAGTGGCCCCCTGGCTCAGGTCTCCAGAAAGTGGAGCTCCTGCCCCACAAGGGGCCCAGGTCCCAGGTGGCTGCGAGGCTTCCAGTTTCTAGTCTGTAAAATGGGGTAGTGAGAACAAAAGCTGAGCCTCTGGCTATTGTGAGGCTGGAGTATCCAGTGACAGGCTTGAGGAAGGAGATGGAAGAGGTGGGTGGTGGGGAGGGGGAAGGGACTTGCATAGTTTTCAGGTGGAATAACCTGCTACGTACCTGCCAAAGGGTAGGAAGGTGCTACTGACGTCAGTGATTGTCGGGAACCAGCCTTAGAGAAGGCCTGCTGGGATCCCATCACCCAGCTTTACCCCTGTTTTTAAAATGGGGAAACTGAGGCCTGGGGTGGGGAGGGGCTTAACCTGCTGTACCTTTCCTCTCCTTCAACAATAGGAAGGAGGGGCCGGGGATTTAGCTCAGTGGTTCCGGCACCTGCCTTGCAAGCGAAAGGTCCTGAGTTCGATCTCCGGTACCAAAAATCCCCCCAAAAACCCAAAAAAGCAAAAACAATAGGAAAGGAGGCAGATACTGCTTTGCATCTTGGCTTGGGCATGGCCTCAGTGACTGATCTCCTATAGACAGAATGACAGCCTGTCCCAGTGATGGGGCCAGATAGGGGTGCCCTGGACAGGGCGTTCTGTCCTGAGCCCCACATCTTTCTCAAGTCTCTGTGATCACAGCGGAGACGGAGACCAACCACTCCAGGCAGTCCTGCCCCTCCACTCCTGAGCAACTCCAAGGTTATTGGTGTCAACTGTCTAAGATGATAGGCAGGAACACGCTGATCTCAGGTGCTAGTCCTGGTCTGTTTGTGTGACACCATGGTGGTGGTCCCCAAGTCTGACAGGAGGTGCTTCAGAGGCAATGGAGGCCAAGCCCCTTGTGTCATAGACGGGGACACTGCAGCATGGAGGATGCGATTTGTTCATGACCCCTAGTGCTGTTTTGAACCAAGCTCTGGGTCTCTGGCCCTTTGGGCATTTCTGCCACATCTATCCCTAACCCATGGGCAGACAGTTGTGTGTATGGGTGGGCAGTGATCACAGTAGCTAGTGTAGATGGAGTGGTGTGTAGGGCATTGTTCTCTCAGAGGGTGTCCCCATTTCTCAGATGTAGAAACTGAGGCCAGGCAAGTGAGTCCTTGCCCAAGGTCACCTGGCTAGCTCTTGGATGGAGGGTGATGAGCAGACCTGTGTCTTACCCAAACTCTTGGGCCTGTCCTTTGTGCCTGCCCCTCGTGCCTGGGTGACAGTAGCAGGACAAAGTGACAGGCAGGGCCTGGGAGGAGCAGCTGAGCCAGTGACCTGTAATCCTTGTCTCCCCTGCCCTGGCTGCTTCCCAGGCTCATGGGGCAGGGCGGGACACTGGCGGGTGCTGATGGGGCACTTTGCTCACCTGGTGGGGAGCTCCCTGCCTTCTCTGCTTATGATCACTTCTTGGTCCCCTGCCCCTGCCTTCTCTTCTCACCCCACAGCAGTGCGGGGGAAGCCAGCCCCTAGGCCTGGATGGGGATTTTGCTGTCCTGGCTGCAGGCCACTCATGGCCCTCTTTCCACAGGGGTTTCTGGGCTGTGGCTGATGGCACTGAGTCAGGGCGGCCCAGCCTGCCACCTCCTCACTCAGCCGGCCCTGTCGTCAGCACAACAGCAGACCCTGGGGCAGGGAAGTGACACAGCAGGCACTTAATCCACGAAGGCTCAGCCGTTGGGGAGCGGCTGTGTTCCTGTCAGGACTACCCTACTGTACCCTCCTTTCCCAGATGAGGGATGGGATAGTGGGTCATAGTACCAGGGTCATAGTAGTGTGAGGTCAGGTCCCCGACTGTGCCCCTACTGGCTTGTAGGACCTGGGACACACCCCAGCTTCTGCCACTCTGTCTGTAAAATGGGTAAGGCATTCAAGATTATTAAGGGTCCCTTCAGCTCTGACATGTAGCTGCCCTGTGATTCTAGACTCCTCTAAACAAGGGATGGGTAAGGGACAGGGATTTAGCTCAGTGGTTCTGGTACCAAAAAAACCCAACAAAGCCGTCCTATGAACAAGGCATGGGTGGTCCTGCATCTTACGCCCCCAGCTGTATGGCCCTGAGCTGACAGCTTGTACTCTGAGCTGCCCTCCAGCCTCAGTGGGCTCTTGACTCCCAGGTGGAGCATCACCTGCATGGCCACCCCCAACCCCCGGGAGCCAGTGGTTTATCTGAGGAAAAACCTGTTGTGGGGTTCCAGCTGCATACCAGGTAGGAGGGACAAGCCCAGCTGCCCTAGCTGCGCTACTCTCAGAGAGGGTAAGGCTGGGCTGGGCTGGGTTGGGGGCTGGAGAGCTGTAGTCTCAGCCAGAAAGGAGCACAGGTGTTCCAGCAGGCAACCTTTCTGGTGAGTGCTAGGGCCCCAGTCTTTGCAGCTCCCTTTACCAACCCTTGACAACCCAGGGAACAGCCCTAGGGGCAGAGACAAACATATTTTTCCATTTTACAGCTGGGGAAACTGTGGGAAGATGAGTTGCCAGGGGTGAGATCCCAACTAGAACCCAGATCTGTGCCTGCTAGGCCAGGGCTTGGGAATGGAAGCTCAGAGAAGTTAAGTGTCTTGCCCAAGGCAGGAAGTAACGAGAGCCCAGGCTTTATGATGCCTGATTAACCCCACATCTTTTCTGTCAGGTCCCCGCCTTCACACACTGAAGTCCTGGGCTACAGCTTGGCTCCAGGAGAATAAAAGCATCTTAATGAGGCATTTATTAAATGCCAACTATATGCCAGATGCCGAGCGGGCATTTTACCTACACTGTGTAATCCTTTCCATAACTCCATAAAGTAGGTGTTGTCTCCATTTTCCAGAGGAAGAAACTGAGACCTGGTAGGGCTCAGAGAGGGCAAATAACTTGCCCAAGGCCTCAGAGCTGACAGCTGGAGGGGCTGGGCCCAGAACCCAGGTCTGAGCTCTGAGCCCCACTCCCTGGAGAAGCAGCAGGCTGGCTCTTCCCAGTCTGCCCTTTAGTTCACCTCACTCCCCTTCCCTCCTGAGTCAGTACAGAGAAGACATTTTCCCAAGGCTCCTTGGCACCTAGACATTGGGGTCTTAGGGGAAAGGCAGTGCCCGAGCACCCTGGGACTGGGCACAGAGAGCTCGTGGCTGTGCTTGCTGGTCCCTATGGCCTGGGAGTTGCCCAGCCCCTTCCTGGGACCAGGAGGGTGGGCATCCATTGCACCCTCAGCTAGCCATGTGTCACCTAACGATCTCTTAGTAATGACAACCTGCAGACACAACAGTGGTTCTGTACATCACGTTGTCTAATGACATAGAGCATACTCTTAGGTTCACACAGTGAAATCTAAAACGGCATTTTTCAGAATGTGTCCCATGTGTTAAGACATGCACTGAACCAGGACTGTTCCTAGCACCTAGAGAGAGGCTGTAGTGGTGGTGGCCCAGCTGGAGCCCTGAGGGGTAGTGGCGGCCCAGGCTCCTACCTGCTCTGGCACCTCCCAGCCCAGGGCCTGGGACTTGCACCTGTCAGGGTGGGAACCATCTGATAACGTAATCCCAGGTGCTGGCTCCTGTCTTCTCCCCATGGCGCTCGAGTCTTAATTGAGAGTTGAGGAGTTGGGAGAGGCCCTTCTAGGAAGGAGCCTGTGAGGCAGGTGTAGGGACCTCTGGATCTTGAGCAGGCAGCAGTTCACTTGGTGCTGCCGCTGCCTGGCAAACTGCTTCTATTCCCAGATGAGGTGTCTGAGGCTCAGAATGGGTGACACAGGGTCTTTTGTTGGCTGGGCCCAAACTGGGTTCCATGGAGTTCTGG